AGCCCCAGCCGGGGGACGTGGGACAAGCTATGCGGAGCTGAGCTGCTGCGAAGCCGAGCCAGGCGCCAGCCCCAGCGTTGCCGAGCCGGATGCCGTCATCCTCCTGACGTGATCTGTGTGGAGAGAGAAAAGGCTCGTCCCCAAACACGACCCGCGTCGGGTGCTGCCACACGGGTCATGGGGAATAACACCATCCCGAATGCGGGCGAGGGAGTGGGCAGGGGCAGCGAGGGCAGGCACAGGGAGGTGTCGGCAGCAGCAGGACGCAGAGGGAGAGGGAAGATTCACGGCTCTCTGCAGTGTCCTTTAGACGTCAGGGCAGTGTTCTGAATAGCAGGACGCTTCCCGGCAGGTAGGAAGAAGGTTGTGAACGGCTCTCTGCAGCATCCTTTAGACGTCAGGGCAGTGTTCTGCATAGCAGGACGCCTCCCGGCAGGTAGGAAGAAGGTTGTGAACGCACAACGTTATTTATTTACAGAATAAAAGGACAACAACTTCACAGAGAACAGGAACGGCGGGAGCTAACACCCCTCTCTGTGCCGGGGTGGTGAGAGCCTGTGGCTGTTCCTCCGGCTGTTCTGCAGCTGCAGGATTTTTAATCCATCATCCATTTCAGGAACATTAACAACCAGGAAACAAAGGACGAACCCTGAGGAATGCAGCAGTCTTCCCGGCAGCAGCAGCAGGTACAGACAGATGGTGGACGATAAACTGGCCCCAAATTAAGGCAAAAGCCTCCAGCACGAGGGCTGTGTGTGATCACAGTTTCCCAAGGTCTCCTTCAAGGGTCCGCACCATGACATACAGCTCGGCCAAGCCAACCACCGACGCCATGATTACCGCTGACAGGACGCGCTGGGGACACAAAAAGAGAGATAAGTGACCCCGCACGTGCGGTCGAGCTGCCGCTCCTGCCTGGCTGGCACAGAGTGCGCTGCAAACGTGCTCCGCGGCCACGGGCTGACTCACCGCTGCGGTGTCTGCAAAGACGTACTGGCTGCCCAGGTATGTGCAGGCGAAGGTGGCCACCACGGTGACAATGAAGTTGAAGATGGTGATGACAACGGCTTTAACAGAGCGAACTGGAGAGAAGGGGGAAAGACGATTGTGCTTTTAGGTAAGGCGTGGAGAGCAGGGCTGGGGACAAGCCGTGATCCTGCCTGCGGCTGCCTCGGCTGGGTTATGGGAATACTCGAGGGTTCACACGCTTTATGCCTCCAGAAATATTTATAAGAGTGACCAACGGGCTGCCCCTTCACCCAAGGAGCACTTTTGTGCATTAAAACCTTCTGGTGAGATACTTGGAGAGGGAACAGCTGTGTGACGTTAACAGCTGGTGCTGTGACGGCTCCCGGACTGACCTTTCTGTAGGTACACGCTGCCAGGCGCCAGGACAGGCAGCCACTCACCTTGCCTCCCAAATTCAGCCAACGTCCCGTTTGTCTCCTAAAAGGGATTAAAACAACTTGTATTTGGTTGTATCTTAATGTTTACGCATAATAAAAGCAACACCAACACCCTGTCCCTCAGGCTCAGAAGTTCAGGGAGCTGCCGGGGGCCCTGGCAGCAGTAGGGTGGCTGCGGGGAAGCAGCAGTTCCACAGCACCCGGGTTTCCCTGGGTTTTTGCTTGTGGTGTGATTCAGGGACATTGAGAAGGGATCAGTTCTAATCAAAGCACTTCTCAGAGCGTGAGCGTTCTCTTTCGTGTGGGTTCTCTGCTGCAGGTTTGTCTTTAATAGAGAAACCAAAGGGTCTCTGTGTTCACACAGCTGCAAGAACTAACTGTGGTAAAGCTCTGCATGCTCTTTGTCAAATCGGACACGGTGACACAATTTCAAACACCAGATACTAGGAGGGAGACGGAGAAGAATGTGATGAGCACAAGGAGATGGGAACGTTCCTCTGCTCTGTTGTTTGAAAGGAACATTGCTGTCACCACTGCCCAGCGCTGCTGACACCGCTCCGCTTCGTGGATGAAGCGGGAAAGTTTGACAGAGAGCAAAGCAGATCTTCCCACAGGAGTGAACACAACAGGAGAATACACGCAGGGACATGAATGCACGGAGACACAGTGAGGAGGAGGGATAGCAGGACAGGATCATGAGGAATGTCAACAGGATCAGATGCTGGCTCGTCCGAACGGTTGCTGTGCCAAAGATCTCACCTCTTCCTCTGAAAGAACGAGCACCCAAACATTACCCTGCTTTTTCAGCTTTTACCTTGACATGAATGATCTCATTATAAAACTATGATGAAAATGTAACCGTTCAGCACAGATTCTCCCAGTAAAACATTCACCAGGGGTGCTCAGATTGAAACTGGAGATCTCTGGCACAGAGAGCTGCTCCCAAACATCAGCATCGCTTCTATCCCACCGCCCCCGTTACCCTGTCCCACCCCTGCCCTCCACACGCTGTCTGCTGTCCCCGCACGTGTCCCGTGTGCCCACTCAGGTCCCTGTCCCCGTTCCCGCTGCACCACCCTCGCTCCAGGGGCACATTTCCTTTGCCCCCTGTCCGGTAGCTAATGGCCGCGCTCGGGAGGAACG